AAAGAGTTGAGGTTAATTTTTTATATTTTTTCTAGATTCCCTGTTTTATTCCAGTGATCTATATGTCTTTCCTTACACCAACACTGCCTTAATTACTGTAGCTTTAGAGGAAGTCTTAAAACTGGGTACTAAACATCTTCCAACAATGTTTTTTTTTTCTTTTTCTTTTTCTAGGTCCTTTGTGCTCCTACATAACTTTTAAAGTTCAATATCCAATTCTTCATTTATAGCAGGTATACATATAGACCTGAATTTTTATATATACTTTATGTTTTCTAATCCTGCTTAATTCAAACACAAGTTCTAGTGGCTCCTAAAGATTTCTTAGTATTTCCTCTGTAGATGATCATTTCATCTACATATAAAAATTTTGCTTCTACCTTTCCAATCCTATCCTAATTGTGTCATTTTATTGCCAGACTATTTTGGTTTGGGCCTAGCTTTCAAAGTTTAATGGATAGATGAAGAATAGGCATATCTGCCCTTGTTCCCCACCTTAGGGAGAAAGCATTGTACCTTCTTCATTCATATAAGGTGTTTTTGCTGAAAGTAAGGAGTACATGTCTTTGATCTGTTGAGAAGTTTCTGTTCTACTTCTAGTCTTCTGATAGCTTTTATCATGAACAGGTGTAGAATTTAGTCCAATACTTTTTCTACAACTAGTGACAGGATCATATGGCTTTTTCCTTTCCTCTGTTAAAATGATGACTTTTGGGGGTGGATCGTCCAATGCTGAACCAACACTGCCATCCCCATAATAAAACCACTTTCTACATACTGCCAGATCTGACTTCTAATAGTTCATTCTGTTAAACACATTTTTATATATTTCATACCTTTTTCTTCTATTATCTTTATCCAGTTTTAGGTTTAGCACAATGTTGATTTCCTAAAATGAGGGGAGAAATGGTCCTTCTTTTTTCTGCTTTAAATGTTTGATATAATTTATCAGTTAAAATGTATATGAGCCTGTTGTTGTCATATAGGTAGGTTTTCAAGATAGGAATATACTTTCTTTAATAGGTGTTATTCAAATTTTATATTTCTTCCAGAGTTAGTTTCCTGCTATTTCCTGCTATCCTCCAAGGTACTTCTTAGAAGTTGTCAAATTTATTTCAAAAAAGATTTTTGTAATATGCTTTCTATATCCTTTTAAATTCTGTAAAATCTGTGGTAATGTCTCCTAGATCTTGATATTGTAATTTTAAAAATGTATAATTGATATTGTATAATAGGAAGAAAAGGTCTAAAGGAGCAGGGGAAGTGGGAGCAGAAGGGAAAAGGAAAGAAGGGAAAAGAAAAAATATGAGAAAAGGAAAAAATGGAAACAAAGTCTTTGCAAATAGGGAAGGGTGGAGGGGGTGAAGGGAGGGCAGGGAAAGGGGAAAAAATGAGAATCAAGATACTCATGTAATAGTACAAGATCCCAGTGATGAATGTAACTGTATTTTATACCTACAATGTACCATTAAACTTAATGGGGAAAAAAGGCCCTTGTTGTTATGATTGTTTATTTTATTTTGCACCCTGAATATTTGTGTCCTGCCCGAAATTCATATGTTGAAACTTAATCCCCAGTATGATGGTTTTAGAAGGTGGGCCTCTGAGAGGTGACTTGGTCCTGACCTGGGTTCATTCCCCAGTACCACTAAAAATAAGGAAGAGGAACCCAAGAGAACTAACTCAACCTTTTGAATAGAGAGAAAGCACCGTCTATGAACCAGAAAGCAGGCCCCGAGCAGATACTGCATCTGCTAAGGGTTTGATTTTGGACTCTGCAGCCTCCAGAACTGTAAGTACTATAATAAACTTCACCTGTTTATAAGCCACTCATCTGCCTATGATATTTTGTTAAAGTGGCCTGAACAGACTGAGGCACCCTTTTTCACTTCAAGGACTAAATGTCTTCTCTTACCTCTCTTTGGAGACTCCCTTTGAAGGGTTTTTGTTCCTCCAATCTCCTGCTTTGGTCTTTTTCTTTCATTCTAGGTCTTCCCATAAACATCTGGTGATCCCTGGCTGCCTTAAGATTTCTTCCAAGATTCCCCAAGAGCTGGTGGGCAGACTCTATGTGCACACATGCGGCTGCTCCCCCAGGGTTCTCAAAGGTGAGTTTGCAGAGGGCCAGCTTGTTCACTGCCAGGAGCTCCCTGCCGGGTCTGAATCTAGGACTCCCATCTCTCTGACAGTCCAGCTTTCCCAGCAAAGGATCTTTCCCTAACTGACCGCCAGTGTTCTGGACCAGGGTGTATTTCAAAGTCCAAGAGCCCCACGAGTCTGAATCTTTAATCCCCTGTGTTTTATCCCTATGCTGCCACATGACTCTCAAATGTCACAACCAACTCATTTTTACATGAAGCTACGTTAAGTGGGTTGGGAGGTCCCAGTCATTCAACCTTTGGTATGAATTCATATCTGCTTGGTTCGCTTTTCCTCTATCCCTTAGCTCTTATCAACCGCCCGCCCCCCAAGGAATTAGAAAGCTGACTGGTCAGGAAGCAGGACAAGCGGGTAATTTAGGGTCACAGATGCCTTGAGCAGGAGAACAACGCAGAGGGTAAGGCAGATTAGGGGAGGGTGCAGCTATCCAGGGAATAGGGCTCTAGAAGTAGATGCTAAAGGGGAGGTGGGAAGATGAGCAGAAAAGTAAGCCTTGTCTCCGTTATGCTCACAGCTGAGCTCAGTGCCAAGCAGCAGGAGCTGCCCCATATTCTCCCTTCTACCCTGCAGAGAACCTGCTCAGAAGATCCAGAGCTCAGCTACAGTGGGGCTAAACAGCACTGCACCAATGAACTCGAGCACCCAGCCACCCTGAGAAAGATGGTTTTGAGAGGAAAACACATTATTTTTTCTAAACAGCAACTTAGAAATAAAATTTTGGACCATGTCCTGCTTGCAAACTGAGGTTCAATTCTCCTATAATGGGCCAGCTCTGGTCGTGCTGAGAGAGAAGGGCCATTAGCAGAAATGAAAAACAAGAAAAATCTTTCAGTCCATTAGGTTAAAAGAGGATTTTTCTGTCCTTTATTATTTATTATTTGTGACTTCAGTTACTGTTTCCTGGAACAAATGTTATGGTTCTACTTCAGTGTCTATTTACTGAAGCAAATAGATGCTTATCAGCCGTCAGGCTACAAATTGCTAAGCAGTCTGTAAGGGCTTTGCTGCTGTGGCCTCTTGCAGTTCTTTGATGTCTTGTAAGGCAACTTATTTTCTGTGCCTCAGACAGTTTCCAAAATGACTGCAATCATGCATGTGTGTGTATGTGTTGAATGTTTAAATAAAAAATTATTACCATAAAAGACACATTGCCATTTGTCCCCCTTAAAATACTCCCTTTTGCTTTGAACACACTTATCCCATCATTCTTGCCACTTTCCGAAGCAGTTCTAGAAGTCCTCCTTGTGTGTCTTTACTAGGTGTGATCAGAAATAAAGTGAATGCTGCTGCCAAGTGCCATCCAAGGAAAAAGCAGGTTCATAAAACATTTGGGTGTGTCCTCATCTACCCTATTCACTGGATCCGGCACTGTGCCACCTCTGGCTCTTTTTAAAAATATTTATTTATGTATTTAAAAAAATTTTTTTTAATTTTTTGGTACTGGGGATCGAACTTGGGTCCTTGCACTTTCGAGGCAGGCAGCAGAACCACTGAGCTAAATCCCTGGCCCCAAAAATATTTATTTTTAAAGTACTGGGGATTAAACTCAGGACCTTTGCACTGAGCTACATCCCCACACCTCTTATTCCTAGAGTGCTGGGATTACAGATGTGTACCACTACACCCAACTGACTTTTGGCTCTTCCCCAAAGTCAAAATGACCATGAAAGGTAAAGGCTTCAAATTGATTCAGGATATAGAGACAACCACAATAGCACAACTAAAGACACTCACAAAAGAGGACTTGTAGAACTGCTTCAGAAAGTGCCAAGAACAACGGAATACATGTGTGTGAAATGAAGGAGAATATTTTTTCTTTTTGAGACAGGGTCTCACTATGCAGTCAGGCTGACCTTGAACTCATTATATAGTTCAGGATAATCATTCAGCCTCAGCCTCCTGAGTGCTGGGATTACAGGTGTCCACTACCACAGCAAGCGGCTATGTGTCTTTTACTGTAATTTCAAAAACCATTCACTATATTTTAGATCACACCTCACACACATACATAGGAATCTATACCTATACCTGTAATATGTCTATATATTATATATGTTGCATTTGAATGCATTTAACTGCAAGAACTGAGCAAAGGCAGACTTAGTTTTTACTTTAAAAATGTCACAGGAGTTAGCAGTCCCCAGAGTCCCCAGTATATAGGAGGACGTGGGCAGAAGCTAAGCAAGCACTCTGGGAGGAAGAAAGCCCGTCAGGGGCTGTGTGGCCACGGGAGGATGTCGTGATTCCCCCATGCGAATTCCCCAGCCGCTGTTTCAGGACCACACCGCGGTGGTAACTTGATCTAAATTTTTCAGTTTTTCTTTTGTGTTCCCCTTTTTTAGACTCTAAGGCAGGGGTTGACAGGGCAGCCTGAATGAGACACCCAAATGAAAGAGGAAGTGCCTCAGCCCTAACCAAACAGAACAGCCACCCATTCAATCAGTGACCTCTATGGAAACACTGAAGACGTCCTCCGTGTCCTTTAGGCTTTCTGGGGGAGGGAACAGTTGCTATGAGAGGCAGCCAGGTTCCTTCCGGCCAGGTCAGTGCAGGGAACCCACAGAGACAGCTGGCACCTCCCTGGAGTCAGAAGGAGGGCAGCCCAAAGCCAGTCGTCTGATCCCACTGAGCAGCACTTCCTGCGTTGCCTTTGCTACCAGTTAGGACCTCTTCCCCAGAAGCTGGGAACCACTTAGCCCCCAGGGTGGAGATGGCCCAGGCTGTGTGAAAGGCAAGTGCTTTCCGAGAGGGCTACTCTAGCCCTATGAGCCGTTAACACCTTGTCTTAAATTTGCTGCTCAAGGCAGTTAACAGCTCCCCATGGGACACTTGTGGGTCCCCTTCTTGCTAACTTGGGCACAGTGCTGGCAGGTGCTTGAGAGGCCCATGGCAAGGGTGGAAACAAATGCGGTGCAGTAGAAGAAACTGGAAAGAGCATTGCCAGAAGTGACATTAGCATGGTCTAAACATATGTATTTCTTGTGCAATGTAAAAAAACAAAAATTTTTTTTGAAATAGGGTCTCGCTATATAGCCCAGGCTGGCTTTGAACTCGAGATGATCCTCCTGCCCCAGCCTCCCAAGTCCTGGGATTACAGGCGTGAACCACGATGGCTGGGTTTAAAATTTTTTAGTTTAGCATATTAAAAAGGACAGCGATAGACAAAAGAACAAAATTGCACCCAATCCTTTTGCCCAGAAGTAGCTCATGTGAACGTTGACTGACTTTTAGCCTTTTTTGTGATGCGCATTATTTGAAGACAATTGTGACAGTATGTGACTGACTTCCAAAACTGTACATCATGACCTTTCCATTTCTTCCTTATTCCTGAATGAATACTGCATGTGTAAGTGTTCATCAGAGCATTGTTAGTAATTCTGAAAACCTGAAAATTAATTTTAATTTGAAAATTCAATGTTTGTGAATAAATTCAAGAAGTTATAACTAACTTCACAATAAAATTTTATGTAGTCAGTCATTAAAAAGGTAAATTTCATGCTCTATTACTGTGAAGGATGTCTCCAAGATTTGCTAAATTTTTCTTTGAGTTTCAAAACAGTTTTGTAATTTGATACTATTTATATAAAAAGCTGAGGATGTTATGTGTAAAGAATTATATCTGCTTGGACGGGGATTTAGCTCAGTGGTTCCGCCACCTGCCTCGCAAGCAGAAGGATCGGAGTTCGATCCCCAGTACCAAAAAAAAAAAAAGAATTCTATCTGCTGGTGGCTATGGTAACAGCACACGCCTGTAATCCTAGCTCTTTGGGTGACTGTGGCAGGAGGATTACAGCTTTGAGCCTTGCCTGGACAATTTAGCAATTTGGTAGTACCCTGCTCAAAACTAAAAAAGGCTGGTGATGCAGGTCAACATGAAGGCCATGGGTTCAATCCCCAGTACCACAAGAAAAACCAAAACATATTTGCCTTTCTAGAAGACAGGCTTTCGGTTTACTTTCTTCTTTATATTTTTATTAATATTTAAATATTTGTGTGCAATGAGCATTTACTAGTTTTATATTTTTAAAACTATTCATTTTGAAAAATTATATAAACTTACATTTGTTGATATAAAAAGCACTCTATAGTGAGTGAAAATGAGGGTTATAAAACATATACATAGTGTGATGCCATTTTTTATTCCTTTATATGTAAATTCACATATTTTAGATTTAAGTTACAAATACAAACATATAAATTTACATATTTGAGATATAAAGTGCACATGTAAATTTTCTATGTATGTATAAAAATAAGTTTTAAAGTTTATCTTATGTTTACTTATTTGTTGCCCGTTTTTTTGAGACAGAATCTTGTCTAGGGTAGACTTGAACTCACTATGCAGCCCATACAAGCTACTGTAAGCTTCAAATTTGCAATCCTACTGCTTCAGCCTCCTTCTGTTTCAGCCTTGAGTGCTGGGATTACAGGTGTATAAGACCATACCAAGCTTTGTCTTTGATTAGTGATTATTTTGTGTTGTATTTTAAACAATAAGTATACTTCTACTTTGGGGGAAAAACATTATTTTGGCTGAGTCTTGGAAGAGTAGAGACTGACCAGTCCAGGGAGGCCCCAGTAATGAACAGCAGGTACCCAAGGCACAAATCTCAACAGAGCACAAAGCCTTTGCTGGCACAGTGCTCTGACATCTGACACCAGCGCCTTCTCTCAGCTGGTAGCTCTCCTCATGCTTTTCTGGGTCACTCGTCTCTTGGGGCTCCCAGACAGCCATCCAGGCACCTGGAGGGGCCCCGAGGGAATGGGGTGCAAGTTAAAACTGTGGTTTTGTTGGGTGGGGGCTCCGTGAGGACTAAGTCGACCTACTTCACAATATCGCTGAGGCTCAGGCCTGGGCGCCGCTGTGGAGAAAACATGAACTCCATGGTTGGTAGACTTGGGCCCAAGCTGAGGCCCTAGCAGTTCCTCGGTGGCCCCTCTCAAACAAGATACCTCGTGTCCCCCCATTTGGTCTTTGGCCCCCAAATGGGAAGAATAAGGGTTATTGAGAAAATGAAACTAGACCTGGAAACAGCCCCTCACACCTGTTTATTATCAGAAGGAGCTGACAACAGAAACCAACGCTGGTGACAAATACTTGGGATGTAGCCTCATGGCTGCACACGTAGGTCACGAATTCTAACTATGGAAATGTTGTCGGACAAAATGACCTGTTAACGTGTGCCGCCATGGGTTTGAATCTCAAGTCCTGGGATGCTCCTGGAAAAGGCCTCAATATGTATATCTCAATGGGGTAGAAAGCAGTGGTTTTTGTTTCTGTTTTTTTTAATCTTTTGTGCACAAGGAGTTTTGCTTCTGAAACATCAGGTGGTAAAGATAACGTCCCTTTTGTTTCCCTCTAGCCCCTTCTCTAGCAGTTATTCCTATTTATATTTCCTCATTTTACGTTTTATATTTTGATTTTACATACACACTTCTGTTGACTCAGGGTCTGGCCCATAGCCTGGGTAAAATATCAAACGTAACTCACGTTACAGTGATCCTCCCATAAAACACCACCATGAGAACTTTCCGATTAGTGTGGATGGCTTTAAAGTGAGTTTTGGATTAAAGTGGCTTTGATCAATGGCCCTGGGTGGGAGAGGGTGTGATGACTTAATTTGTTCCAAGAGTGAACATTTCTTCCTCTTTATTTGGATTTCTTATCTGAAGTCTTCTGAGTTTGTACTAAGCACATCAAGGTATCTGTCAGCATTTCCAGCTCATCCAGCATGTCTTCCCACGGTGCATGTGACCCAGATCACGGCTTCAGGAAGTCCTGGGCTGCAGTCCCAGCTGTACCCCTTCCTGGCTGTGTGAACTGGGATGTGGAGTTATGTAACCTAAGTCTGCCTCTTTAGCTCTGAAACTAGAATACAGGGTTGTTGTAAGGATTACATAAGAGAGAGTAAACACTCAATAAAACAAAGTGGGCAGTGGGGTAGCCAGAAGAAAACTCAGGGAGTGCCCAGTACAAGAATGGATCAACCTCATATTGATTGCCCAAGCTCACAGAATGATACAGACAGACCCAGTGCCATTTGATTTGATTTTAATCCTCTGAGTTATGTATGTTCATAAATCCGCACCTTTGCTCTCAGGAGGCACAGGAAGC